TTTTAGAGAAAATTAATTTTGTGCTTACCTGAGGCTGTATTACCTGAGTTCAACTGTACCAAATGCTGTATGAATTATGGTATTTCTTTGGAGTAAGTCTTTGAGTTAATAAAACTGTTTAGCAGTTTTTAGCAGTTTTTTAGCTGTGTATTTACACTTGATCAAAACTGAATTCTGTTTGAAGTTGACATTTTTCTTTTTATTTTGTACTTGAAAAATCACTTGGGACTTAGTGAATGTTTGAGGAAACTCTTCCTCCAGCATTTCTCAATATATGTGACTGACTTTCCCATTACCACACCCTTCAAATGCAGATAATTTAAACCAGCGAAATATTGAATCCTGGTATGTTAATAATACAGCACACTGAGCACATCTGTCAGGTTTTGAAAAACAGTTCGCAAAGTCAAAATTGAATTATGTTGCAAGATAGAGCATTACTGCAGTCTCTTCCCTTCTTTCGAGACACACGACACGTTCGTATTTGTTGATTTTTCCCTAGTATGTACATACCTGACATTGTTTTCTAAGAGCATCTGAGTCTTTCTTCTGCACAACAGAAGCGCATTCTGTATCTTACTGTAATTGTGAGGGGCTCCTGTGAAATAAGGGTTTGGCTTTGTGAGAAACCACCTTTCACTTTCCACAGTTGAGCTCTCTAGTAATGCCTCGATTCCCTTGAACCGCATCTGACTGACAAATAGGGAAATGCTGTAGCTCTTCTTTCAAAAGCCGAAAGAAGATATTTAGTTCTGAGGCAGGTGAGATAAGAAGGACCATGGACTCGCTGCCTTCAGGTTCATCTGTTTGACTTGACTCTCATTTGGGGAAGTCGTTATGCAAATACACCACTTAATTAAAAAGATACTCATACATGCTGACAGTGAGTCTCGAGAGGAATACATATTTTAACTTTGAGCACCATGTGATTTTTTCAACTTTCAGTATTTAATTTTCTCTTTAAATAAATTAGTTTTAAATTGAAAAGGCCTTTATTGCAATATTAAGTTTTCCAGTGTGAATACAGAATGCTTATATAGCAAACTAAACTGCCAACTTGCATGATAACGTCATGTCTTTATTTTCATGGAAGTAATATACGTTCTAATGTTTAAAGGATTCTCCATCTCATTCGAAAAGCTATCCCAGAAAAATGATCCTTTTTTAAGTTGGACAATGTAATACCTGAAAACATAGGTTTCTGCCAGTTATGAAACGTAAGTTTTTTTTAAGTTAGGAACTGCAAAGGTTAAAAGTTATGAAACTGACAGAACTTTTAACCTTCGCAGTTCCTAACTTAAAAAAAAAAAAAACAACTTTTAGCTTTGGAACTATAATAGTGAATTAATATAATTTAGGTAATTTAATTATGTGGATTTTAAAACCGTGGTGATAGATGTCATACAAGCCAGGTGCCAGTGCATTTTTCTTCTGCAGTTTCACACTGTTGAGTTAATGAAAGATCTCAGCACAACTTGAATGGACAGAAAAAAAATGCATGTTTTTTATTCTCCTTACTAGCCTACAGAAGGTAGTGAAGATGATTGGGATACATCATCAGTAGAAGATAACTTTATATTGATGAAAGATGATAGAGGTCAGAAGGCATCAACAGTTCAGAAGAATGAGTCAAACACGGCATCTGTGGTGCAAGCATGGGGTCTTCCAAAGAGAAGTGTACCAAAGGAGGAAGGTAACGTATTTGTGCTTCTACATCGTAAGCCTTAAGCGCCTGACGCAGCTAGAGGAGAACTTAAGCATACTGTATTACACGTTGTAATTCAACATATGGTATTTTATAAGAAAAGAACAAGAAAAACTGCGTGCTTGGGTTTATGTCATATAAATATCGTCTATGATATTGATGGTACATACTTACACATAAAGAACACACACACATGAATACACAGAGATGCCAAGAAACTTAAATTTGAGATTTTAAAACGTATAATACTATCAGGCTTCAACCTCGTCTGAAAAATTAATCTTCCAGGATTTTTTTTTTTTTTTAATCCTTTCTCAAATTTAAGGGAGGAGGGAAATTTTCTTACTTTGTCAATCAAGTTTCAGGTTTGTTCAAGACATCTTAGTGACCTACCAGGCTGAGATAAATATTTGAGCTACTGATAAAGTAATAGCCTCAATCTTACATAGGACTTATATAGTAGTTTCTAGCCCTTAACATTTCAATATACTTAAAGGTTAAAGCTGTGTCAGTTATATAGATAGTCCAGGTTATTTTTAAAGGGGAAGTAATGTTGACACTGACTGTTTGTACTGTGCGTTGTATTCTGTGATAGAAACAGCCTTCGTATTACCAACACTTGTAATTTCCTCACTGGTTGAAATTCTGAACTTCCTGAAGTCCACAGGTGTTTGCTCACATAGCATGTAATTTTATCTCATAGAAAAATACAAAGTAAAAATACCCCCAAAATATTGTTACCAATTGTTAATGTTTTTTTCTTATTTTAACAGGCCTTGGTGAAGCTGATAATACAAGCATGTTAAAAAGCAGCTTAGTTACTGTAACAGATTGGAGTGATTCTTCAGAAGTATAATTGTTGCATTCCTGATGGAAAGCACTGCCATCAGTTTCTGCTGGGGTTGAAAATGTACTTGAGAACACCTAGTGTTTGCTATTCCTTTCTCATATTGGTCATGTAATAACAAGGAATACTGTTTACAGAGCTCTGGTGTCTTTCAGTCCTGAATTTGAAACAAGAATATTCATATACACATTGCCGGCCATGTCTGTTTGGAAATTGAGAGTTAATAATTCTTATTTCTCATCAACTCAGTGGTGAAAGTCTCTTTGATTTCACTGAGGTGAAGATTTTGCCTCTAATGTTTACATTAAAGATTGAAACTGGTCTTGCAAGAAAGCCTGTTAACCAATGATCAGAATTTACTCCAGAGTATTACTTTATAGATTTTTTAAATGCATATTTTCTTGTATTTTATCATAAACTTTATATAAAATTGTGAACATTTTAAATAAAATATTTCCATGTATTAAAATGTTAAGTTTCTTACATGGTTTACAATAAACACCAAATGAAAAGGAAAAAAATACCTCAGCTATAAAACTAGTTATTCTTAAATGCCTCTTATTTTGCAAAGTCCTTTTTTTTTTTATTAGAGTTGAATCTTAGTTAATATAAAATCACAAAAATTTAAAAAAAAATCAAATGTCAAGCTAAGTTGAGGAAAGTACTGACCTGCCATTGCGCAAGTACTTTCATATTTTTGTTTTGTCCATATTGGCTGCCGCCTTAAAAAAACACAATGGTGTTTTGACTTAAAGGAAATACAAAAGTAAAGTAAAATAAAAAGAACCTTGACTGCCTTTGTAATTCCGATGTATACAAAACCTTTTCTATCCTACTGTGCCTATTAATAAATAGGACTATTCATTTTTTTATGTTTACATCTTTATCCCAAAATAACCAATGTATTGAAGCTCCGAGGGTCCATCTGTTCAAACATCAAGACAGACGCGAGTGTGTGTCTAAATTTCGGATCTCAGTCTAAGAAGCATTTTTTGGTTATTCATAATCTCTGATCTCATTATTGACTCATTGTACAAATATTCCCTCAAAATCCATCACATTCCTATGGACAGGTTAATTTTTGAACCATTATCATTAATTCAGAATTATCTAAAAAGGTGCTGTTAAATATTGCCTCCTCCTATTTGGTCATGCCTGGGCTGCATCCAAAGAAGCGTGGCCAGCAGTTCGAGGGAGGTGATTCTGCCCCTCTACTCCACTCTTATGAGACCCCACCTGGAATACTGCGTTCAGCTCTGGAGTCCCCAGCACAAGAAGGACATGGAGCTGCTGGAGCAGGTCCAGAGGAGGGCCACAAAAATGATCCAAGGGCTGGAGCACCTCTGCTATGGAGACAGGCTGAGAGAGTTGGGGCTGTTGAGCCTGGAGAAGAGAAGGCTCCGGGGTGATCTTATTGTAGCCTTCCAGTACTTAAAGGGGGCCTACAGGAAAGCTGGAGAGGGACTTTTTACAAGGGTGTGTAGTGATAGGACAAGGGGCAATGGATTTAAACTGAAAGAGGGCAGATTATATTAGATATAGGGAAGAAATTTTTGACATTGAGGGTGGTGAGTGAGGCACTGGAACAGGTTGCCCAGAGAAGTTGTGGATGGCCCTATCCCTGGAGCCCTAGAGGTGTTCAAGGCCAGGTTGGATGGGGCTTTGAGCAACCTTGTCTAGTGGAAAGTGTCCCTTGGAGTTGGAACTAGGTGATCTTTAAGGTCCCTTCCAACCCAAACTGTTCTGTGATTCTATGAGTGCCATTGGCAGAGCAGGCCAGCTGGTACTGCCAGGGTTCTTTCTTCCCTTTCATAACCCAGTCGCTTGGAGCCATTCTGGAGCCGAGGGTGAGCGCTGAGGCAGAGCGAGAGCCCAATGGCACAAAGCAAATGCAGAAGGCAGGAACCATCTCCAAGCTTTGTCTTGCCCACCACAAAACCCAAAGGCTGCAGCCTCAGCCTTTTCTCTCCCTGCCATGCACACAAAAGCTCACGATCACGTGTGCATCCTTCTTCTCCTGTGTGTGTTCTTCCTGGGCTGTGCAGGACCCTCTCTAGTGACTGTTTTTGTAACAATGGGCCCTGTCTCTTCTTAGTACCTGCTCCTGCCTCCCCAGATCCCATACTTATTCTCACTTCACCCAGGCTCTTCCTCTTCTTATTCCTATGGCACCGAATTGACTAAGTTGCACGTTTGTCCACGTCGGCAATGTGAGAAGGAGGTAAGAGCCTGCTGATTCCCATTGACCCTCGTCGTCTGGCCCTGCAGTTACGACACGCTCTGCAATTCCCGTGTCCCTGCTAATCAGTGGCGAGCTACTTCACACGCTGACCTGCACAGAGAATGGCTGTTTTGCCCAGGACCGAACCCATTTCGGAAGCAGTTGCGATGATGCGCTGCAGTCAGTATGATGCGTGTGACACCGTTCCCGTAAGCAACTGACATCCTGAATTGGTAAATAACCCATTTATTTTTTTCAAGAAAGCAACATAAGCTCATGATTTCCAGGTATAAACTTTACAATACCAACATCAATCTTAAAATATTATACAATAAAATTTACATCAATATGTAAAAAGCTGCAAGTTAAATGTTTAAAAAGTCGTTCTCTTAGTGGTAACTACATTGGGGTTGGGGCAGGGGGGAAATCACTCCGCAGGAAACGTACAAAATAATTTTAAAACGCTTTGAATCTCCCAACAGTACAATTAAACGTAAGCGTTCTTGTCAAAGTGCTTTGGTGGGGTTTTGTCTGGGATACTGTTGTGGACTTTTGTACGAGAAGACATCACAGATGTGGCTCCATTATATGCATACCCCCTCCTGAAAAGAAAAGAGGATTGACAATTTACAGCTCATCCCACAGTCAGGTAACATCTCTGTATCCAAGCGTCACCGCAATATCAAACTAGAGGCAATGTATAGGAACGTACCTATACATTTCAGGGGAGAGGGCAGGGAACACCTTCCTTGCCTCTGTGGTCTCATTCTGGTTTGACACCTCCCCTTCAGCATCTCTCTTTGCAATTCACTTCTTTATAAACTTGTATCCCATGTCCTTGCACCCAAGTAAATTAGGACCCAATTATGAAATATTTAGGCTGTGGCAGATCCGAGGTGAACAGTTGCTCCCTCCAGCTGTGCCTCTTTGCTGTCATCCCTCTTCTGCTTCTGGAGATCCCACTGCCACCACTGCTGCTCTTAACCTCTCTCGCTTTTGATCTGATGATTTCAGATTAAATAACATTGTCTATTCACAGCTATAACATGACCTGAGCACTCTTCCTACACCTGTGAACATATTTCCTTCCAGCTGTAGTAAATTTATCACGTATATATAACACAAGTATTTGTTCTGAGTCAATAGCTTTTCTTGATTACATTAATGAACACAGCATTATCCTTGAATCCTATTATTTTCTTTTATCTGCACAATTTTTTTCTGAACCTCACTACAAAGTGTTTTGGAAAAGTGATCAACCCACAAACGTATAGCAGGTACAAATGAGCCAGTACTGATTTCTTTCAATAAGTACAACTTGTGTTTTACCTTGGAGAGTGACTGTTTTCAGCTATTGAGAAGCAGAATATACTGCCACCAATTATGCAGAGTGAAGCTCCAGCCCATCCAATGAACAAAGCTGCTCCTAATTCATACCTACAGGAAATTAATAAATGGGTTTAACAACAAAAAGCATGAATTTAACAGGTTTTTTTAATAATAAAAGTACTAAATTTTTTTTCTTCCTGAATATCTTTCCCTTGACACACACATTATTCATTGCAATTTCAGCAGCTCTGCCGTTCACCCGTGTTCTTTTCATTATTTCCGTCTTACTTGGGAGGCAAACTCTGTCCCTGTGAACACCTGGGCAATGCTCATCTCCCCGCACAGCCCGCCAGGGTGCCCGGCTTTTCCACATCTCCTGGACTGCTCGGCTGTGGAGGTTCCATGATTCTTTGACACATTCACAGCGCACAGCTTCTGTCCTCTTGGACCATTTCAGGTTCATTCCTGCAGGCTCCCAAGCAGGACTTGGGCTTTCACTGAGCCAGCACTACAGCTGCTGCCTACAACTCTCCTTAACTCTCCCTTTTGGCTCCCAGGATCTCCCTCCCTCCCTATCCATGCTCCAGCCTGCTTAAAACATGAGGTTTTTATACATATATATAATATGCATAAGCAATATGTAGACAAACACATGTGCAATATATGCATATACATACACAGATGTATCTGATATATGCATAGATGTGCACATACACACACACATATGCAGATGTACATGTGTGTACACACGCACACGTGCACGTGCCAACAACGTTCCGCTTCTCTAGTCCCTGTGGCTGGATTCAGGCTGGAAGACATTGCTGCCCTCCGAGCCCTTGGGCACTGCTGCAGGTGACCAGTGGTGGTCTCCTCTGCCACCCCAGGGCAGTCACCATTTGTTTGCAGCCAAAAATTGCTCAGGTTGACTTCAAGAGGATGTGGTGGTGCTTTAAGATCACTGCCACACAAGGGTAAATCCAAGTTTCCAAAACAACAGTAGCAAATGAAGGAAAAGAAGGGCACAGGGAAGACATTCCTTTCCTCCCTCTGCCTGAACTCAGCGCCCATAACCTGAGCTCTGAAGCCTCAAGACGAGTGGCAAGCTATGGGTGCCGCTTCTCTGCGCCACTCCCCAGCTCTTTGCCCAAGGTGCCGCTCTCTCCAACACTTTCAGGATGACCCGCATTAGACCACAGGCGCAACAGTCTCGGGTGTCTCGTATTCCTCATTACCAGGACACCGTCTTCTGCTCCTTCTTCTCTGCTCCAGTTGCTCCTTGAGGAAACCTCTATCTCCTTCTGACTGCTAGGATCCTGTGTTCAAAACACAGGCTCCTGTCCCACATCCAGCCGCAGTTATTGGGCAGGTGGCTGTGCCATTTAAGCCTTTCTCAGTAAGTTTTTTTTATTTATTGTAAGCTCTGGTGAGGCAAGAGGCAGCTGAATCAAAGCCTCTGCTTGTTATAATGCCTGTACAACTGAAAGACTGTGCAGTTGATTCCACGTGAACAGATCTTAATTTAACATGAGCTGAAATACATAACTGAAAACACCTCTAAGCTGTTCTACAAAACTCATCTTCACAAAGATGACACTGTGGAAACATTCAAAAATTGCCAGTGAGCCTGGGCACCCAGAAAATGATGTAGCGACATCTATAACAGGTCACAAGGGGCCAAACACTGGCTGAAGAATCAAAAAATCACTTCTCCATGTTTTCTTGAGATTCCACCCAGAGGTAAAGCACAGACTTTTTTTTAAAAGTCACACAGAGAGAAAAAGCCACACTTAGGATATCAGTGTTAGATGCTATGGGCACCCAGGTTCAAGTTATTTCTGATTTGGGGACTTATTGCCAAAAAGGGTTGTATAGCTCAGAGGTAGGACACTCAGTGAGGGCTTGTGCCTGACTCTTCAGATGGCCTCGCTAGTGCTCTAATTTCTAGACTGCTTTTTCATTTTTTGGTCACACAATCCTAAGCAGAGTTCTTATTTATCATCCCTTGCTAAAAAAGGATCAGATTTCCTCAAACATTTTCCATAGCCAGTGTGGGACTTAGGCACCCAACCTCCAAATTAAGCTGCTGGAAACCACAGCTCAGCTGCCTTTCACCCTGGCAAACTCTTCACCCAGCCCCGTTTGACTTTGAAATCTGCCAAATATGTAAAGCTTTAATTCTAACTCACATTTCCAACCATGTGTTACCATTTTCACAAGACTTCAGCAGATTTCTGTCTATTTGAGGACAGGGGATTCTCTGATTAGAAGCAGATCTCTACATCAGAGCTCGTCATCTAGGATCCCATTAGAGTCAACACACAAGAAATACACACAAAGTTCACTTCTAAAATATGAATCGCACCCTCGAGGCACCTCTTTGAATGAGCTGTGAAGGCAGAGCAAAGTGCCTAACTCCGAACTGAGGTTAGCCCCACTCTGGGGATCCCTCCATCCCTGCAGGCACTGCCAGAGCACACCTAAGATACGTGGATCAGGGTCCAGCTCCCCACAAAAGTCGGTGCAGACCACTGTGGTGCTGGAGAACACAGCTGGACCAAGACCCAGGAAGGCTTTGCTGGAACAGCTTACTCACCAAGACCACTTGCCTAGAAAGTGGGAAACACAAGTTCGTTTCCACATTTCCATCTAATGACATTAAACAGTTGGCCAGAGGCTACCAGGAGAGATATAAGAAGACCAATTGCCATCTCCTCTCCTGAAGCTCTTCAGTTGTACAGAAAAGAAATCAAGATTATGTTGGGTTCAACCAGGTAGAAAGGGGTTATATGAATGCTGCCTGCTAGTTGGGAAAGAAGATACGGGGTCTGGCCTTTGTTCTTGGGATTGTTGTATTTTTTAAACAACATTTGTTACGATGACTTGTAGGGACAGATTGCACATATGGACCCTTCTCGGGTGACCAACACACTGCTAGGTTAATGAGTTGCAGAGATGACCTAATTGGTCTTTCCTCCACATCTTTAAACAGATAAAAGACTCTTTGAGTTGCACTGGTGCTTATGAGGAAAATTTAAAATTTTCAGTTGCATATCAACCTGCGTATGACTCCCTGGATTTTATCCAATCCATCTTTTCAGCATTTAAGAAGCCAACCTTAACCTCCCATCAAAATCCAGTCTGTAAAAAAACCTTACCACATGAAAAAACCCTTACATGTATTGGTACCTCCAGAAAAAAAAAAAAAAGAAAAAATAAAAAAGGAGAAGCATGGCCAGCAGGTTGAGGGAGGGGATTCTGCCCCTCTACTCTGCTCTTATGAGACCCCACCTGGAATACCGCATTCAGCTCTGGAGTCCCCAGCACAAGAAGGACATGGAGCTGCTGGAGCAGGTCCAGAGGAGGGCCACAAAAATGACCCAAGGGCTGGAGAACCTCTGCTATGGAGACAGGCTGAGAGAGTTGGGGCTGTTCAGCCTGGAGAAGAGAAGGCTCCAGGGTGATCTTATTGCAGCCTTCCAGTACTTAAAGGAAGCCTACAGGAAAGCTGGAGAGGGACTTTTTACAAGGGCGTGTAGTGACAGGACAAGGGGCAATGGCTTTAAACCGAAAGAGGGGAGATTTAGATTAGATATAAGGAAGAAATTCTTCACTCTGCGGGTGGTGAGGCACTGGAACAGGTTGCCCAGAGAAGCTGTGAATGCCCCATCCCTGGAAGTGTTCAAGGCCAGGTTGGATGAGGCTTTGAGCAACCTGGTGTAGTGGAGGGTGTCCCTGCCTGGGTATGTGCAGAAAAATGAAATCCATCCTGACTGCAAGCACCAAAGCATCCCGTGCTGTCCCCAAGACTCTGCACGTGTTATTACGTAGAGCCAAGCCATTCCTTTGGAGCTGTTTCAAATTGGCAATGCAAAATATCGCATCAGGGCATAAAGTGCCGCCTAAGATTTCTAACTAAGGCAGGTTTTAGGGTGTCCCCATGGTGCCTGTCATTCCTCAGTTAGGTCCATAAATTCACAGCAGAAGTCTCTTGGCCAACAGCTTTAGGTAGGTGTCTGATTCATCCTATACCTCAGGGCACCTCTTCCAAATGCAGGAGGTTGGAGAGAAATTCTGACGGCTGAGATGACGCTAAACATCTCCTGTCATTCGTTTTCCATTAACAATATTTCAAGCCTGTCTTTGACACCACCAGAATAACTTCAGAAGAGAAATGCGCAGGAAAAGGTGAAGGGTTAAAACCCAAAGCGGCACCCTCTCTCCGTGAAGAGCCAATGCCAAATTTCCATCATATACCCACAAAGCACGTGAAACGCTTCTGCAACGCATGCCAAAAGTAAGAGTTCAGAGAAGGCAACAAAACAGATTACTCCAACGTATTTTACACTGGTTGAGAGAGGAAGGAGTTGAATGCCACCATTGGCTTAATCTGCCACAAATATGAGCTACACCAGGTGCAACTCAAATTACAACTTCTGGCTTTCCTCTCTGCCTTTATCTTTGCAGTCGCAATTATGTGTGCATGCAGTTGAGCTATGCCAGTTGTTCAGGAAAAAGGTAATTTCTGCAGAGGATGATTTACTGCCTTTATTTCAATATTCAAACTGAACTTCTCATTTGCTCGCAGTAAAATTCCACTGTGAGGTCTGCCTGCTTTTTTGCAACAGAACAGTGTAGAAATACAGTGTAGGAAAGGGAATTCTGGCAACGATCATGGTATTTTTCACTAGGAACAGTAAGCCTGATGAATAATTAACTTCTGGTTATACAGCCAGGCTCCATTTTCTTGACAGTACCTCACATCTTTGTTTCTTTTGGAGGCATTTGGATCCTGTCCTCACCATATAAAACAAACAGGAACTATAGCAGAATTATGGAGGAAACTAATATGAACTTGCTTTGAAGAAGCAGTGTCGGCCCTACCACAAACGTGGATCCAGTTACCATTATTTATTCAGACTATTTTCTTTCTATCAAGACAAAACAGAACACCTTAGAGTTCCTTACTGAGCCCTTACTCAGGTCTCAGGGAAGTTTATACTCAATGCTTGACATATTCTGGAATCACCACCAAGAAAACTTTGAAATTCTTGTCTTTAAAGATAACTTTACATTAGATAAGAAACCAAAACAATAAAGTCTAGGATGGTATAATTTACAGCCAATGTTTTCAGATTTGGTGGATAAGGTGTGAATCCAAAATACCAGCACTGGTTCCTGAATTGCTGCCTTTGTAGGTCCTGAGAACTTATGCAGCTTTACAGGGAGTCCTTAAGAGATGCTCATTATTTCTGGTATGGATCCTGCAATTCTGTAAACACTCCCTTAAAATTTAATTACACATACAGTCAAAGCATTTATGTTAGTGCCTATACGATCATGAGTTACGATAAGGTTTATGATCCAAATTTCAGCCATCTGGATTTGAAAATCTGCTAGCAAAATGTCCACAGAGCCTGCTGAAACCTCTCTTCAAGAGGAGCCAAGGTCGTGCACTGCTCAAAACCTTTATGGAAACCACCTTCTATCAAAAGCTTAAGGATATAATTTTCTTCCTTTCCTATCGAACGATGCGCCTAATGAGAGCCTCTGTCTTGTGAAATCCTTTTGCTGAGTCTCTGACACAAACACAAGCTTCACTCCTGATTAACCCCATCTGCTCTGCAGCAAGTGGGGCAGAACCCTGCCGAGCTGCAATAAGCCTGGGCACAAAGATTACCGAGAGACCACTCTACGGGGAGGTGTTGGGTCGTTAAATTTCAGCACACGGTTACTACAGTTGGGAAATATGATTAAATAAAACTGCAGCCCACCCTCCTTCTCTGCCCAGCAGGAGAAGCCCCTGCTCTCTGTTTAAATGGGTTCTGGTGCACAGAATGAAACTTAAGGTCTACTTCTTTAAAAGATTTATGGGTATAGGGAAGTACTTACTTTTGTGCAACAAAAGAAGGATCAAAGAACTCAGACGTAATCCTGTTTGCATACAGGGAACAACTAGTCATAGAGCACAACCCTGAAAAGCATAAGACAAACCATTCAGTGGAGCCAACAGAAGAGCTTTGGGCCTGACCCTGAAGCCAAGGAAGTCACGGAGAATTGTGCGCGGATTTCTGCAGAAAAGAAGCAGCTCTGATACGACTTCAAGCACTCAAACTTAGAGAAATAAGATATATTTACCAGAGAGTATGAAAATCAGTCCAGCTAAACAAGCTATTTTTGCTTTAGTCTGATCGGAGCCTCCGACTTTTGTGCACTTCATCCCAACCAGTCCAAAAATGGCACCGAAGAAGCCCAGGCAGACGGCGGAGATCATCAGTCCTCTGCAGGCCTGGATGTAGCCTGTGGTGAGAAAGAGCAAGAGAGAACTTCTGAGAACTGAGAGCACAACAGGTTTCACTGTAGCTCATCTCCGTCTGTGCAGCATTAAGCATTCACTATTGCCAGCTGAATCAGATCCTGGCTGGAGTAATGTCACCTTACCATGGAGTGTATTTCCCTAGGTGACATATGCCCTTCACAGGGTACCGTCACATGAGCCCAGCTCATAAGAAACATACTGTGGTATCCAGGGCCGCAAAATATAATCCTGTGGCATCAGGTATGGTATCTGCAAGAAGTTGTACTCATGAGGTTTTGAAGAGCAACAACACATAGCCTGTGTAGCTGCTGTCACAGGTTGCACAGCCACTCTGTGCACACAAAGCAAGTCTTACATGTCAGGCTCGTCGTGCATGTGTCACAGATGCAATACCACTGGCAGCAGATTGGCAGCACTGAACCTGGCTGTGGTCCTGAGCCTGCCTGTACAAGCCAACGATTTGATTTGGATCCAAGAAGGCCCTCATTCTGCAAGGAAGTAGAATCATAGAATGGTTTGGGTTTGAAAGGACCTTAAAGATGATCTAGTTCCAACACTACTGCCATAAGTAGAGACATCTTCCACTAGATCAGATTGCTCAAAGCCTCATCCAACCTCCAGGGATGGGGCATCCACAACTTCTCTGGGCAACCTGTTCCAGTGCCTCACCACCCTCAGAGTGAAGAATTTCTTCCTTATATCTAATCTAAATCTGCCCTCTTTCAGTTTAAAGCCATTGCCCCTTGTCCTATCACTACACATCCTTGTAAAAAGTCCCTCTCCAGCCTTCCTGTAGGCCCCCTTTAGGTACTAGAAAGCTGCTAGAAGGTCTCCCCAGAGCCTTCTCTTCTCCAGGCTGAACAACCCCAGCTCTCTCAGCCTCTCTTCATAGGAGAGGTGCTCCAGCCCAGGATACAATGTGGACTGCCAGCACACATTGCCAGCTCATGTTGAGCTTCTCATCAACCAACACTCCCAAGTCCTTCTCCTGCAGGCTGCTCTCAATCCATGCTCCGCCCAGCCTGTCGTTGTTCTTGGGATTGCCTCGACCCAGGCACAAGACCTTGTACTTGGCCTTTTTAAACTTCACAAGGTTCACATAAGCCCACCTCTCAAGTCTGTCAAGGTCCCTCTGGATGGCATCCCTTCCTTCTAGCATGTTAACCACACCACACAGTCGGTGTCATCAGCAAACTTGATGAGGGTGCACTCAATCCCATGTGCTTAGTTTCATGGACAGCAGTAACCCTTTGAGATAAAACAAACTACTGCCATATTGAAGCCTGGACAAATGTGGCTGGCTTTAGCCACCTACAATTTTGCTGTGCTGGCTGAGGCTGCTC